TTTAAGGAGAATCGGTCGTTGCCGATCAATGTCTGAGGCTGGTCGGGTCTGTTCGGAAGAGAGCTGCTATCCAGCAGCGCCAAGCCACCGAATCGATCGATTTCATCGACGCAAGAATTGAAAATTTATTCTATTCCAGAGAAAGTGAGTACAATTATTTAAATTGTCCTTAACTAGGCGTGTTTGTTTGCATTTGATTTTTCTATTATGTCTTTCGTTTTTACGATGTAAATTTTAATTTCGATTCAGTATTAATATTGATTTGGATTTTATTTGAATTTTACTTCCGCTAATTTTATTTTGTATTTTTTATGAGGTTTGTTCGAATAAATTTATCGATCCGGGATATATATTCACAATGATCATCCTATTTTGCAGAAAAGTTGGAGCACTCATGTTATTCTTTATTGTAAAATTAAATGTATTGACCATAGTAGCTTGATCTCGAACTGAAGTAATTGCAATTTTTTTTTGGAAGAATTCAGTCAATGTAATAATAAAAAAAAAAAATTGAAATTACAATTGTTGCTAAATCTATTTTCACCAAATAAGTTTGTGGTCTTGGTTGGAATTAAAAATTACAATTAAAACATAGAACATCGAGTGTTTGTTTGGTTTCTATTTATTTTCTCATTTTTTTGTATTTGGGGAGGTGAGTATGGTGTATTACATGTGTTTGATTACATTTTAAACCGGAGTATGATGGACTCTAAAATATTCATAATTATGTTGATATGTATATACACCACCCCACCATTAATTGTATAGATTCTTGCTTTTTGGACTGGTTTGATTGGTGCACATAGGATGTTATTTTACATTATTGTGACAATTGATGGTATAGAAAATGAAATCAAAATGCTTTAGTTTATCATTTTTAAGTACATAACCTTTGTATGGTGAATAGAAAAAGTTGATGCACTTTCGGGTAGCGGCTGCAGGTTCCCACGTTATTAAAAAAAAAAAAAGAAATTAATGCAAATAATTTGGGGAACAACTTATTCATATGTGTGCAGCTTGACTGAATGAGGCATACGTCAGCATTTTCTGATCGTAGATAAAGGATGACAACAAATAGGAAGTGAGGTGACTGAAAACTCATATTGTATAGTTCAAAAATGAGCTCAGTAAGTAAATAATTATGTTTGTCATATAATAAATTAAAAAAAGAAATTAATGCAAATAATTTGGGGAACAACTTATTCATATGTGTGCAGCTTGACTGAAGGAGGCATACGTCAGCATTTTCTGATCGTAGATAAAGGATGACAACAAATAGGAAGTGAGGTGACTGAAAACTCATATTGTATAGTTCAAAAATGAGCTTAGTAAGTAAATAATTATGTTTGTCATATAATAAATTAATCAAAAATATTGTTTATATCTTGTACTCCTAAAGATTGCATTGAGTTTCTTCTACGGGTGTTGATATTATATGAAAAAATGTTGTGGTGATTGGTAAAAGTAATATTAATGGATTGTCTGCAACCTTACTTATTTAGGTATTGATATATATATATATATTGTATACATAATTATAATTGATCTTAGTCTAGTAGATTTGGATTAGTGCATAAAAATATTATATTTATGTACTCTAATTGTGCAATTAATTATATAATCACATTTGTTTCCCTAAGTTACTGAACATCAATATTTTATTCATTTATGGGCAGAAACATCATACGAAATTGACTATTCTTCATTTACCGAAAACCTAGAACAAATTTTCATTAAACTTATATCTTAATTGCAGTTGCAGAAGTACCCAACTTGGTCTGTGGTACTTGGTTAAAGCCAGACGTATTGTTGTAGATATTTTAAGGTGTAATATTTTATGTTGATAGGATGTCCGTCAATCCTTTCCTTGTAATTACTTTTGGTGTGCTAAGCATAATGTAATATTATACATAAATATAAAACAGTAAAAGTGTTTTTGTATTGAAGCTCTTTTATAAATTTGATGTATTATTATAGATGAACGAAAATTGCAGGTATGCGATGATGGTCTTTTATATATGACTTGTTGACAATAGAGGTTTCTGAAAATGTAACAGGAGTACATCGGAGCTGTGTTGGAGTACTTTCCTGCTCAACCGAGTCACTATTTTTTAAAATACTTCTAACTGATTGATATTTGAGTTTGTGAGTGTGTGACAATTTGGATTATTATGTTATGGATCAAAATATTTTAGAAAAGATGTGTTTCTCCTATTACACAAAAAACACTTGAACTCCTAATAGTAGATTACAACTCGTGCTTTTACTTGAATATTGTTGTGTGTGTTATTGTGTGAATTACTATGTAATAGATCTAAAGATTTTTAATCCGTGGCAGTAATTATTTACTCTAACAACTAATATAATTTAACTTAGTTATTTATGACTTGTTTAACTATCTACAAGTGGAAGTTGGATTATAATTGTACATATATCATACAATATAACTAAGTTATTTCTCACTTGTTTAGTCGTCTATAGTAAATATATGTTATTTATCTTTTTATACAATTCAAGGTATCGTGGGAATACTATCCCAATGAATTCATCATTTGTTACCGACAACAAGTGAATATTTTGAACAGTAAATGGTCTGTTTTCCAAGAATAGGTTATCAGAGTATATATATTCGTTATTGAAGCATATGATACCAGTATTATAGGTATGTAAGATTTGTGAAAGGGTATATCGGTATTTAATGCAGGTATGTAAGTATGCGCTTCGGGCACAAACACCGACACTCAAGGTATGAATAATGATTATTTAAGTATTATTTGTAAAGTAGCAGGTATTCGTGAATGTGGTTGATTTCAGTTGATCTGCTGACGGATGGGCCAATTCACAAACTCGGTGAGAGTACTTCATCTCTGAGCCTTGTTGAAAAAAATTAGGCACGATACGTTTATATTCGACAGTTCATGCCACACTTTTCAATGGCAAGACCACAAAATATGTAGGACTACAAAAAATATAATTTAACTAAGTCATTTATGACTTGTTTAGCCATCCACAATATATATGTGTTGTTTACATTTACATACAATTGTGGAATTCACATAAATACTATAATGATGAATTTATCACTGGTTATAGATAATAATTAAATGTTTTGAACCAAGAATGGTTTGTTTCCCAAGCACATGTTTTCAAGACATGATTTACTAGTTATGAGAGCATATGAGATACTAGTTCCAGGGTATATTGGTAAGCGACTGAGGTATCCTTTGATGCGAACCTATGTGAAAGAATGACATGTTATAATTTTATGTTATTTTCATAATGTTTGAAATTTATTATAGTGAATGCAATTGGATAGAGTACTAGTAGATTAGTACTCCCCATTGTTAAATTATACAACCATTGTATATGCATTATAACTAAGTACTACCCTTACCAACAACACAACTAAGTAACCCTATTGCCTATTGTTCTCGCATATGGATCATGTTCTTAACTTTTCTAAGCAACTTTTTAATCTTCTAGATTGGTATAACTTACTATGCTAAAGATGAATACATCTCATGTATGGGTACTGCTAAAGATAATGTTATAATGCACTTAATGTTCAAGATATAAAGTATTAGACCCCGGGCATAAGTAACTTAACCTGGGGTGTTTACTAACTTAATATAAGTATGTCATTAAATAACCGAGGTCGATCGTGTTTGAAAAGAAGTACGTATCAATATGATAAGGGCATAAACCTTCGCAGTAGATGTATATATTTTTCTTTCTTAGGTGCACCCATAATGTAGTCAGGTATCCGTAAATACACTTATGCTCATTGCAGACATTACCTCAACCATTGGAAAGTCTTGTATTGAATTAGTTAATTCCAATTTAAGAGCACTATGCACAACTTTTCTCGCTCGTTTCTGTCTTCGTACAAGGATAACTTTCCTAACTAATGGATAATATATATATGAGCATATATATATGTGTATGTACTTCGAAGGTATTTCGATCTAGTTAAACAGGTACATCGATCTGTGCGGAGATACAACATATGCATTATTACAATTCTAACCATGTGAAGAATTAATCATACAATCATTCACGACAAAATTCATAGCATTACTCCAAACATTAAGTTTCACAAAATTTAACCCACGATTCAATCTCTCAATCAATCTTAATACAATTTCATCGAACATGAGGCAAATCAAACCAATTCAACCAACAAGTCAATCAAAATAACACACTACCCAAATCAATCCCAAATCTATCCAAATTCAATACAACATTCACTTACCTTGTGCTGTTCATTGAAGTCTACGGTTCAGAGGGTGGATCTTTAAGTATTTTGGCCGCAATTTTACCGTGGTAGCTCTTCACATTATCAAATTCGCCGTTGATATTGCCGGATTCGCGTGGATGTAACACTCGGAGAACATAAAGACCAAACGGTACTTCAAATCAACTGATAACCGATTTGTATTCCTTATCCGTTTTGTAAATAATTATCATTAGTTCACATTACCCAAATCTTGAATTTATTTAAAAGTTTATCAGAATCCATCAAGAGTACATAACAACACATTTTGAGTACACAATAGTCCCCTAAGCGTATATTACTTAGCAAACTAGACCTGAAAAATGCAACTCGAGGTGCCTAACAATGCTACATTTTCAAACCCACAAACATGACTAATTACCGAACAATCAAACAAAAAAACTAAAATATGAAACTCCGGGTAATTATACAAAATGGATATCTACAAAATAAAATAAAAAAAAATCACAAATTAAACAAATAAAATTACCCAAAATCAGTGTCAAAATAAAATACCCAACTCGGTCTACGTGAACAAATATACGAACAATTTCAAATCCAGTTAACAAACACAAACACATCGATCACACAAGCCTCCTCAATACCGAACCTATCGAGGCATACAAACACGGGGCCAAGACTTATATCCCAAACAATAGAACAAACTACGGGATAAACTACAAATAATGTCAACAAAATTAAAAAAAAAAAAAAAAAAAAAAAAAAATTCTTACTTTTTCGAGCTTGTCCTGGGAGATGAGAGTAGGTCAGCTATTTTTGTCACTAGTTTTGCACCGATCTTTCGCTACTTGATTGCCGGAGGTTGAAGAACGTTGATTCGCCTGAAGATAGAATATGTAAGGTTTAAAATCTAGGTGAGGGGAGTTGTGGGTGGTTTTCCTACCTCAACTCCTGTTAAATCGTGGGTAACTTTTTTTTTTATTATTTTTTTAATTCACAAAAAAAAGTACGCGATATATAATTAGAAGTATATAAAGTTATAATGGGAGTAGAACGGACGGTATTGTAGGTATATATTACAATATTAGAAGTATTAATCAACCTATTTCGAGTATCTCTTGCGTATACAACGGTGATTGAGAGAGAAATATAAATTTGGGAGCTATAATAAATCTAATCCATAAAGCAGGAACTACAATCAAATTGATTTATAACAGGGACTGAATTACAATTGAGTTTCTCTTACAGGAAATTTAATACAACTTTCCCAAAAAAAAAATATTATAGTGTTTTTATCAAAAATATATATATATATATATTATAGTTTTCTTTTTGTATTTTTTACATGGTTAATATAAGTATCTGTCTTGCACGGATTAGCAATATAATTTCAGGTTGTAACAAATCATCATTATAACCATTATAGTATGACAAATCAAAAAAATTGTTGAAAGAACTACAAATAAACTAATTGTGAAGAAATTATATTTGAAGTCCGTGTAAAAAGAAAAATTAAAATATTTGAAGTAATTAATGCCGAAAGTCTACCAAATTTAATACGTACTCTATCCCAAAAGTATAGTCTTATTGTGTTGGACACGAGATATAAAGAATATTAATATTATATTGGTAGTTAGTAAAAAGTAAGGATAAATCACTTTTTTGCCATTGTGAGTATATTAGTGTAAAAAGTAATGACAATTGTATAATAATAATGAAAAAGTAGGGCTAGTTTTATGGTGATATGGTTATTTATGGAAATGAGACTATTGTTTTGGGACGGACAAAAATGGTAAACAAGACTATTGTATTGAGACGGAGGGAGTATATAATATGAAATAGTGAAGTAGTGAAGTATAAACTTAATAAGTATAAGTCAATTTTATGATGAAAATCTAATGTTAAATTCACCAAATAAATATAAAGTATTTGATGCAAACAAAGAATGTATCATCAAATATCCAATGACAATAAATAATTATTATAGGTATCAACTATCTATGTGCTAATTTCTAAAGTTCTATCTATGTGCTAATTTCTAAAACTTTAGGTTATGTTTTTTTTGGTTTTATGGCATATTTTACTATTCAATTTTTTTTAAAAAAAAATATATCATATTAAACAATCATTATTATTATTATATATTATACTATTTCATTTGTCTCACTTAATTTTTTTATATTTTTTATTTTTGTCTATCTCACATAATTTATCATTTTACTTTTTAGAAAATTGATTATACACTTTAATTATATTTTAAAATTTTAATTTTAATTTTTTTTAATCTTAATTAAATTATTTAGTTATCTTAATATTAATTTATAATTATTTTTACTATAGTAATTATTTTTACTAATACGTTTCTTAATTACTTATTAATTATACTCTACTTAAATTCCCGCGTATTTACAGTAATCGGCTCATATTATCTAGGATGGATGGAGAACAAATTTATTTTACATTCAAAATATCACATCAACCTCCAATTATATCACATCAAACAACTATTTATATTCAATTTTGTATTATCAAAAAATCTAAACCCAAAAACTAAAACCCACAAACAAACGACACACCATTTACGACGAATATGTGATAAAGCTGAGAAAATTAGAAGTTATAGGTGGATTACCTAATTTTAAAAACAAAAATGATCAATTTATACTGTATTCGGACATCCTAGTACCAATTGATGTTTATAATTATTGTATATGAATCTTATAAGTCTTACAAGAATACACTACAAAAAATTATAGTATATTTGTAACAGCATTTCGTCCCTAAAGATCACGTAGCTAACGTAATTTCATCATTAATTTCGTCTCTAAATCATTAGTAACGAAAAAAGTAGATTTAAAGACAAAAAAATCTCGTTATAAAAATAATATTTTCTTGTAGTGATAGCTAGCTTATCTAAGACTACATATATATCTATTTGTATTGATGATTAATTAGGTTACACATAAGTTGATTTTATTAGAGAAAAATGTAACACTTTTAAACATTTGAAAATTTATGCCAAAAATTGATGAATGCAAAAGAATACCAAAGAGACGAGGGTAAGAAGTGATCATGACAAAAAGTTTTAAAACCAAAATGGAAATTTCAAAGAATTAAGCATACATTATGAACATTCTAACACCAAATTCGTTTTAATTAAAATTGTCGAAAGAAAGATTGTTTGATTGAAAAAAAAAAAAAAACTAGATTAATAATACAAGGCAAGAATGCCCGTTCGATCTAATTTAGGAACTTTCGTTCTCAATAATAAAATACAATCAAATATATAAATAATGGGTGACAAAAATTGAACCAACACAGAACTCGATAAGAAATAATTGGATTTGAGTCGAAAATTTTGACTCTCTCATGTATGCGGATCGACACGAACATGTCATGATAATAAACGGGTCGAATTAGGATTTAGGCTTCAATCCGAATCTGACACCACAATTCGTTTATAATATATGAATATTAAATAATATATTTATTGGATATGTAAAATAATTTTAATTTAATAATTTTTTTTTAAAAATAAAATTAAAAAGAACACAAACTAAATATATTATGTTTAATAATTTTACTCTTTATTGTGTAATGACTTTAGTTTTGGGGAATTGATTATTTGATTATAGTAATATTTGTAAAATTTTAATTTTAAAATTTTTTAAATGAGTAAACGTGTCAATTTCTTGTTAGTTGGGTCATCTAATTTGTTTAACAAAAATTATTAAAGAGATTAATGGATCATTTTCGGATTGAACGAATTAAAACGGGTAGGTTCAGGTCGAGTGTTCTGACCTTTTTAAGTAAACAAATCAGGTTCGGGGTTGGACAATTTGATCCATTTAAAAACTCGACCCGACCCGACCCGATGTATTGGCGGGTCTAATATAAACCATAAACCAATTAATATTACATCCTAACTAACTAATTTATGTTTTTTGTAACATTTATTCTCAAAAGGCAACTTACATAAGACTTGTCGATCTAACTAACACCCAACTCCCATGAGTATAAGACTATTATCGTGTGTGCATGATCTATTACATATGTCACTCAATTAATTTCCTAAAATAAATTCACATTCGTCTTCTCACCATATGTGACTGTTTCTATATATAGACTAATAAAAATAAGAGTATTTATATGCATCAATATATATATATATATATGATTTGTTTGATATTTATCTAAAAATATTTTCTCCTTTTCTTTTTTTTTTTTTTTTTTTTTTTAATCTGTTTTCTTAGTCTCGTAACTGGACCCCCTATCATTTTAGTCCCGTAAGTGGAGCCTGTCGCAAACTAGTCCTATAAGTGAAAAATTTTCGTTGTTTTAGTCCTCCGGCTGCGGAGACGCCCGCGAGGCTCGCCGGAGGTGACGTGTCCGCCAGGTCAGCGCGTGAATTTTTTTTATTTTTTTTTTCATTGTTTTAAAATTATTTTTAATTTATTTTTATTTTTATTTTTTTTATTTGGTCCAATTTAAAAAAATAAAAAAAAAAGAAAAAAAAAAGTAAATCCACGTGTCCGCCAGGTGTCGCTGACCTAGCGGGACATCCGGCGGACACGTCACCTCCGACGAGCCACGCGGGCGTCTCCGGCGCCGGAGGACTAAAACAGCGAAAATTTTTCACCTATGGGACTAGTTTGCGACAGGCTCCACTTACGGGACTAAAATGATAAGGGGGTCCAGTTACGGGACTAAAAAAACAGTTTACCCTTATTTATATTATAAGATAATTATTTTCACTAATACATTCTTAATTATCTACTAATTACACCCTTCCTAAAGTCTATAGCATACACGGGGTCTGGGACGGAGAGAGTACTAGTTACTCAATTTTTTTTTTCAAAAATATTAAATCAAATACATAACTTTTATTTTTTATATTAAGGTAAAAATCAATTTTACACCTATATTTACATATGATACCAACTATTTAAATTCAAATTTTTTAGTAGGGTTAAAATTTTAATTCAAAATTCAAACCCCAAACAAACAAAAATTGATGGCAGTATGTATCGCAGTACACTGTAGGATTGAACCTTGCCTTGATTTGCCAAAAAGAACTTGGGAAGCAGTTTTCACTGAAAATTTCCAAGATAAGGATGTGGATTTAAATATGATTATAAAATAAATAATTGATTTTAAAATGGTTATTTTTTAATTAGCGGACGGGTCATTATCCATTGGTGTATTGGACCCATGAAAATCATTATCCATTGGTGTATTGGTTATTTTTTAATCATTTTTAAAAAAAGAAAAATAATATGGTCCGTGGGACGAACAGAAACGGCAACGTGAACATGATATCTGGGACGGAGGGAGTAAAATTTTTACAAAATACTCCAAACAAACATAATATCTTAAAACTTGTATTACCTTGATCAAACTTGAACCAAATTTCAAATTAAAATTTATTATTTTTTAAATTTTTTACCTTAGCCTGTAGGCGAACTGATTTTGGTCGAATTGGAGCTGAGTCAAGTTGAATCAACCTTAATCTCACTTAAACTTTCAACTGAAAATTCTTCACGATTTCCCGCCTCAATCATCTCCGAATTCAAATTCGAAACTTGTTCATTGAAAACATTTTGTCCACCTTCATTTTCGACTCTAGGATCAGCTCCCGATCCATCTCTAGATTCGACTCGATTATCATTAAGATTATTACCTTCTTCCCCATGCAACGGATGAGTCTCGATCAAGTCAGCACTAGCCCGACAAATCGGGCAAACGGGAGCCCTCAAAAGCCACAAATCGACGCACTCTGCATGAAAGCTGTGGTTACACAAAGGTAAAAGCCTGCATTTCTCCGCAACTTTGAAATTCTCCAAGCAAACTGCGCAGTTCGGGCAAGGGCTGTTGCTCCCTTTGATCTCCCTTTCGACGAAACCAAAACAGGGCAGCTTCTCGATGTCCTCTCGGGACATGCTGCTGCTGCCCAAACTGCCCCTGTCTGCAATGTTAGCAGCAACATTGCTGTCGGTCAAATCATGTCTGATCGCCCTCCCGACGATGCAGATATGGATTAGGACCAACAAACCGACCCCCAACGAGATTAGAATCAACGAGAGTATAATCCCCATCACCCAGCAACACAAAAGATATGAGACAACAAAATGATTTCAACTCATCATAGTGAAAAACTACAAACAATAGCTACCAACAGAATTCACATTTACATCAGCTGCCGAAAACGAATAATTCACAGAAAAATTTTAATCAAAATTTCCACATCATAATGTAAAAACTTGAGGAGTAGCTGCTAACAGATATCAATGCATTCTGTGTTTATCAGTAACCAAGAATTGATCGAGCCAATAAAAAGAGGAGCGAAAGATATCAAAAGAGGGTACCTTCTTACAAACCTGCTCAAGAAAAGGCAACTTTCCAGAGGTTTAATATAGACAGTAACCTGGAAAGGCAGCTGAATGAATGATGTAAGTTATGGAATTATTTAGCTAATAATTCATCATGGTATTGAAGGTATTGGTGGGGTAGTTCACATGGTGGAGTGGGTGAGCATTGTAAGAAGCTTTTGTTGTTCTTGCAAACCCGAGCATAGCATTTTGTCTCTCCTTTGATTTTTTTCCTGCATTTATATCAGCAAATTTGGCAGCAATTGAATTGATGTGAATAAATAGTTTGATCAAATAGGAGGATTAAAATATGGCAAGGGAGATAAGATAGAATCTACAGTATATTAATCATCCACTACGACTATTTCACCTTATCGGTGATCATATATATTAATATTCATGTGTGTCTAAGGAACGCAAGAACGGCTCCAAGTGTAAGTGATTCAAGTAGAACTAATCTAAAGAAGGGGAGATATGAACACAAAACTACTAGCAAGTAAAGACAACCGGGAAGTCGACAGCAGGCATGCGTGCGTAGGCTAGGACAGAATGACTAAGTACTAAAAACCATTCCTAAACTAGCATGCTTACTGATCCAAACTTCATTTAGAGCAATCAAATCCTAGGAAATAAAGTTAGAGCCCACACCACAGTACAAGAACTCAGTTGAAAATTTCCAAAAGAAATCAAAGTCGAACATATATATTCATGGAAAGTAGAAGACAGTTTACGATCAGAACATTATCTTCAAAAATAGGAATGATTTTTCGCTAGCTATAACTTTCGACAAACTATTTTCTATGCTGTGAATTTTAGCCAATCTCTGCATTAAGTTTCCCGGCCACACAAGTAATTTAGAGGACAATACAGAAAGGCAAAAACTAATACGGGAAGTGCACACATCTTTGATCAGGTAATAACAGCCATAATAACTGGTCATGAATTATCCAATACATCATATAATTCTCACATAAAACTTGCTTCAGCTGCATCTCCAAGTGCCTCAATTTTCTGGCATATATACACGTATAAATATTGAGATTCAAGCCAAGATAAAGGAAATGAGTATCAACTAAAGACCTTTCTGGGAAACAAGCGCTTATTCTATGAGCCACAAGCAAGTCCCTCGCGAGCAATGTTGGTCACACGGAGAACAGCTTGGGCACTCAATGGTGCAAGCTTTGACTGGCAGAAATACTCCCACGAAGCCGTGGCAGGTTCCTCTGACATCACAAAATTTGGTTCGGGGGGATGAGATCTTTCATATAAAGATTGCAATTCTAACAACAAAGCCCGAGCCGCATCCCTGGACTCCGGAAGCTGGTCACTGAGCTGGGAGGCACCTATTTGGATTAGTTTGTCTATGCCAAGTGTGTTGATTTCTTCAGCTCCCTGAGAAGAAAATCACAATAAATAACTGAAGACATATTGATTACGGAAGAAAGCGAAACTAAAGCATTTGTTGACAGAACAGTACAGAGTTAGCAATGATGCTTAAGCTTAAAATAACGAATATGTTGGTTTGTACCAGCCGTGGTACACTTCGAGAAATGCACATAGAAGCTTTGGCCCGAATTCTAGGATTCCTATTCTTAACATAAGGTTGCAACTTTGGTAGCAATAGAATAGGAGAAACGGAGCTTGTCAGGGCTATTAATGCACTTTCAGCAGCTTCACAAACAAATTTCTTGTCCTGAGAAGCTTTCAAAAGAAGTTGCACCAGCTGTACAAAGAATTAGGATAGAGTTGATATACATGGATTGAATCATTGAATAACAAACTCTATTTGGAAAAGGAAAATCACATAGTTATCATGGAATGCTATACTAAATGTATTACCAATGGATCCAGTGAATCAATGATGTCATTGTTGTATACTTTGAAAATGTCCGCGGAAGTCATAATTGCAGTTTTACAAACGGCACTTCTTGGGTTCTTAAGGGATTTTACAACTAAGGAGATCACGTCACTCCTGGTCAATAGAATATAGCAATCAAACGACATTACCTTAATGCACCAAAAGAAACTGATTTACATTTTCTATGGGACACAAAAAAGTTGCAAAAAAACAAAATATTAATGCTTACAATATGGTGACAATAGCTTCCTTGTGAAACATACACAATCTGCGTAAATTGTTGAGAGCATCACACACTGAAACCCAGTCTCTGGAGCTTAGCTCTGACAAGAGTGTCTTCAGTGCAGAGTGTAAGAGATGCATAAGTACTTCATCAATATAATTTTCAAGAAATCATCTTTAAAAAAAATCAGAATCGCTTATGCAACCGGAAATCAATTGTGAGAACATATCTGGAAATTTAATAGTAAGCATTTCTACCTTCACACAGTTTTCCACATCTTCTAGATCCTTTAAGTCCGCACATTCAATGTACTCTACTTCTGAACTTGCCAATACTTGACCAGAATCTTCTCTTTCTTCTGCCTTGAATGGGGCTCCATTAGCCGAGTTCATTTCTTTCGTGTGCCCAATTTCAGTAGAAGATTTCAAAATGTGTCCATTACTGCAGCTTCCATTCATCTTCTCTGAGTCAGATAGTTTACTTGTGTCTCTTAGAGCTATTTCTGACATAATGGGCACCTGATGTTAGAATGATAAAATCATGTGTATGAGTAACTGAAATTTGTGAGAAATACTTGGCTAAAAATGTATTCTGATGTCTACAGTCACAAAATCTAAGGAAGAGAAGGCAGTAAGACAAATTCACCAGAAAGTTTAAGTACCCTTTAGAACTGCTACTTAACGAGTGAACATTACAAAGTTGTAAATCATTAAGAACTGATAATTTCTCTGCCAGAAGGCAAACCAGATATGAGTGTGAATCAACAACATTATCCTCGTCGTGTAAAACAAATTCATTGTCACTATAGAAGTAACCGGGAAAATAACATACTAAGTCAAGTTATGAATTACAGAATCATCTAGTCCGGACAATCTCATGGTGATCAATTTGTCCATGAATATGCAATAATACCTAATGCAACACAAAGTAAACAAATCAGTCACTGTATACCACATCGCAAATGCTTCAGATTAAATTCAAACTAAATCAACAACCACAATATGCCTGAAGCTTATTACATACTGTATTGAATACACCTGATTGTTTCTGGAAATTCAAATAGAGGGTAAACCCCAGATGTATGATGTATCGACTCATCTAGCTGTCTGCAATCAGTCAGTCATATTTTACTATAATGCTTATATCCATCACAGTCTTTAATCATAAATAAACCAAAATCTATGACTCTGATTCGGCTCCACTTCTAATAGTTAGCAATTAACAAATGTATCACCACAATACGAGCGGAGTTCCGCAAGATCTCACCGGCACACAATCGTTAACTTCGAAAAATGTCAATTTCAACCAGTTCTTCAGATGATCCAAAGCTGTAAACTCAGATATCAACTTCACACTACAGATGCTCAACACTGGGAAGAGAAAAATACCTCAAGAAAAGGAGGAACCGTGCCACGGCCTCCACACAGCAGATCGTCCGGCCTCTTCGGACGAAATTATCCTAGGCGAGTCAAATCTGAGTCGCATTCACAAGTAAAGTTTCCCGATGAAGCAACAAGGAGCAATTATGGAAGAGTGGGGTTCGTAGGGTATGAAATTTAGAGTGAAATGACGTCTGAACGCATCCGATGGCGATTTTGAATGGATTTTGTGTTGCATCGAAGGATCGTGTTCTCTCTCTGCTGTAAAAACTCCTGTAAGCTCCTGCCTCTACTGATTTGACTGCTAATTCTTTCAGTGTCACGTACAAAAATTGAAATATAGTGTGCGATTCTTTATCCAAACAAATTGTATTTAAATTTAAGTTTTATTTGAATTTTCACATAAATTTGAATTTTTGTGATTTTTTTTCTTTAAATTTGGTTTGGATTTTGAAGTTTTACTATATATTAATTTGATTGTAATAAATATAATATTTAATATAAATATTTATTAATTTATTTAATTGACTATAAATTTATATTATATTTATATATTTTTTAAAATTTTTATTTATTTATATTATAAAAAACTTTATTCTATATATTTTTATATATTTTATTTGATTAGAATATTATAAATTTTTAATTTGAATTTATAATTATAAAAATTAATAAAAAATAGAAAAAGTAAAAACCAAACACATGACCGCCTGTAACTTTGGGGACTAATTCAGGTGTTTCGTAAATTAGCTTTTTCAACTAGTTTATTGGCCTCTAAAAATTAATTTATATATACCAGCCTTTTGAAAGAATTTTTTTAATTTAATTTTTTATTTTTTATTTACTTTTAAAATATTATTATTTATTTTACATACATATAAATATATTTTCTACTATAATAATTATAAATTATTTTAATATATTATTTATTAAATTATAATTTTATTTTTAAATTATATTAATTAATTTTTATATATAATTAATTTTATTTGTAAAATATATATTTATTAAAATAAAATAAAAAAATAAAAATATTATTAATTTATTTTTATATTAAAAGTAAATAAAATAGAATAAATTTATTAAAAATTATAAATATAATAATTTAATCAATAATTAATATAATACATATATTTATAAAAAATTTATTATTTTATATTTTACATAATTTTTAATAAAAAATATTCATATTTCTTATAAAAATATATACTCCCTCCGTCTCATCGAAATTGAATTATTTGATTAGTGATACGGTATTTGATATTTAATTAGTTAATAATAATTAGTTATGATATTATTTTTTATATAATTAATAATATTTATAGTTTGAAAGTAAATTTAATATGTATGATTAAAAAAATAAAAATATATGTTTAAATATTTAAAAATTATATAGCAATTAAAAAATATATGTAATATGGATATCATTTCGTACAGAATAAAATTTTCGATAATACAAGTAAATAAAAAGATATTTTTGTTTATTTATAATTAACATAAATCAATTTTATAAAAGATGTTTAGTTATAAATATAGATAAAAATATTTACTTTTTTGAGGAGAGTGATATAAATAAAGGAGTTTTGAGTGAGTCCTACGTCATTTATGATATTATATGTTATGTAGTTAATTAAGTTGATTTATTTTTGTTAAATATGTTTAGATTTAATAAATTTTGCTAAATATAAAAATGTGTCAATTGTTACGGGTGGGATAGAGGGAGTATTATTTTTCTCACATCTAAAATTAATAAAAAAAAAAAATTATAACACATTCTTAATTTCAAATAATCAATAACAAAAATTTTAAAATTTTTACTTAAAAATTTTAAAAGTTAAAAATTTAAATATCCTCGATTATCATTTTACGTATAAACAGCTAATATATTTTACCAAACACTTTAATACAGCTAATTGAATCGGCTAACAATTAAAAGTTAATTGTCAAACACACCATTTGTCACTCAATCAAGAAACAACCCCGAAGGTAGTTGGTAGGGTATTAGATTCGAAGAAAAAAAAAAACCCGGAGGAGTTTTACTGTGCATCCCAAAACTTGCCAACACACCCACATATATGTATATATATACATGCCATTTAAATTTGAACTTTGGCTTGAAATTTTTTTAATTTGAATTTTTTAACTAATTTTTCAATTATAAATATAGTACTACCCCAAGACATTAGATTTGTTTCTTTTGATTGACTTGAAAAAATTTGGATTTAAATTTGATATTAAAATAATATTTGATTTGATATTTTACAAGAAAAAAAAATAAATTTTGAAAATATATAGTAAAATTTGAAAAAATTGATCTAAAAAATAGATTTATAATTATTTTACTTTTTAGTCCGTAGTATCCGTTTTTATTTTTTTAAAAAAATAAAACATATTCATATTAAATATGTTTTAATAAATATAAATTAATTAAACATTTTTATAAAAGTGAATACAATAATTTTACAAATTACGTCATATTTTTCGTACTTTAAAAATTGGTTTACTCTCTTATGATTTTACAAACTCCGCATTTAATCCGGTCGGTCATCATTATTTAACGGTGTCTCACCCGCGTATGCTCAAACTGCGAATAAGTTACAGAATTTATTTCTAAACCCTTGAAATAAGAGGAATAAATATAAATAAGTTTCAAAATCTTCATTATTTTTTTTTCTATTATTTGGGGTTAAATATAAAAATATATATATTTGTAATTTTAAGAGTTTAGAAATTAACAATTTGAAATTTTTTGCAATTTAAGCGCGTGTAGGTCAAATAATAGTAAATAAGGACGTACAAAGGGATTAAACGCAGAGTTTATAAAATCATAAGAGAGTTTGACGGAATTTTTAAAGTACGACGGATTTGACTCAATTTCGTGGAATCACAGATGAATTTTATAGAGTTTAGCCTTAAAATTTTAATATCTTACACATAAGACCACTTAAAACTCTTTTATTTATATTTTTTCTCAATAGATAAATATTTTTATCTACTTTTAAAATTCTTTATTTTTTTATAAGACTAGTGTGAGTTAATTATAAATGTTAGGGATATGGTCCAAATAAATATTTGCAAATCCTTAACAATAACAAAAATAAACATGAAAATTTTGAACAACACAAGAATATACGTTAGTCCAATTTAGATGACCTACATCTATGGATGGATATAGAGAAAACTTTCGCTATCAAAAGATAATACAAAATGGGCTCGAATAAGCAAAACAAGTAAGCCACAAATATAAAAAAAAAAAAAAAAAAAAAAAAAGAAAAAAAAAAGTGCTACTTGCAATTTTGGTGTATTTTAAAACTCAACCCAATGTCATATATTTATAGGAAGAGACTTATGGCTAAGTGGCTCCACAAGCAATATGAAACAATATTTTGTTTCAATTCTAAAACATTTCAATGTGAGACTACGCCACATAAAAAATCTTTACCTTGGCGTGTCCAACATTAACAAAATAGTGAGTTTGTTCTACCTTCTTCACAAAGACCCCATCGAGTTAAATTACAAGCACTGATCTCCGATCCAACCTAACACTACTTGAACTTGAGGACTAGAAAGAGATTTTGTGAATATGTCAATAGTATTCTCTTTTATATCAATTTTCTTAATGCAAACCTTATCTTCAATAATGACATTTCGGATGAAGTGATACTTCACATTGATGTGTTTCGTCCTTTCATGATGTCTTTGATCTTTAGTCAAGTGTATTGCACTTTGACTGTCACAATGAATAATAGTAGTACTCTGGTGTAGACTAAGCTTGTCCAAAAGACCTTTCAACCATAGGCTTCTTTAAATGTCTCTATCATTCCCATATATTTTGTTTTTGTAGTAGACAATGTCACAACTGGTTGTAAGGATGCTTTCCAACTAACTGCACAATTTCCAATGCGAAATACATAGTCTGGGAGAGATCTTCTTTTATCGAGATCGCGAGCATAATTATAATCTACATATCCAATCAGAGAGTTATTATTTCTTCAAAACTCCGAACGGGCATTTAAAGTACCTTGTAAGTATTTCATAATCCACTTCACAGCCTGCCAATGTGCTTTTCCCGGACAAGACATATACCTGCTAGCAACACTGACTACCTGTAAAATATCTGAACTAGAGCATACCATTGCGTAAATAAGATTGTCGACTGCTTTTGAATAAGGAACCCGTGTTATTTCTTCTTTAAATGATTGTGGTGATTGAGCAACTTATAATCGAAAGTGATTAGCAAAAGGGACGTTCACTAGTTTGACATCATTTATGTTGAAACGCTCCAAACCTTCTTAATGTAGTTTTTTTGAGTTAAGACCAATCTTCTCTGTCCACAATCACATTAGATATTCATGCCAAGAATTTTCTTTGCTGCTCTCAAATCCTTCATTCCAAATTCACTACTAAGCTACAACTTTAGAAAGTGAATTTCAGACATATTCTTAGCAACAATAAACATATCATCAACATACAACAATAAATAAATACGAGTATCGGAAGCTAGCTTCCAAAAATAAACATAGCTATCATAAGTATTCATCAGATATCCATTACTCAACATAAAAGAAACAAACCTCTTATATCACTATTTCGGAGATTGCTTTAGTCCATATAAAAATTTATTCAACAAATAAACATGGTCTTTTTTCCTTTAATTTCAAATCTCTAAGGTTGTTTTATGTAAATATCTTCTTCAAGTTCCCCATGCAAAAAAGATGTTTATACATCCATCTGTTTTAACTTCAATCCTCTATGGCAACCAAAGAAAACAAAATAGGAATAGAGCTATGTTTGACAACATGTGAGAATATATCATTAAAATCAACACCTTGTACCCGACTATAGCTATTTGCAACCAACTATGTTTTATATCTTACTTCATCACCCATTGAAATACCTTTTTTTTTTTTCTTAAAGAGCTATTTGTTTCCAATAATTCTCTTATTTGATGGTGGTTTCACAAGAACCCAAGTATTATTCTTGTGGAGATGTTCAATTTCTTCATTAATCGTTGTTATCCACCAAATAGAATCATCACAATGAATTGCGTCTGAATATGTGGATGGCTCACTGTCTCCACCTATTTCTTTTACACTAGACAATGTATATGCAACAAAGTCTGCATACCATTGTAGAGGTCAAGTGTCTCTCCGTTGTCTTCTAGTTGCTATGAAATATAGTTCTTCTTATATACTTTCAATATCAACTGATGTCTATTGAATTAGGAATGAAGAAATTTACCGAACATATTGAAATACTGACTTATCGAACCATAACGTACTAAAATA